GTGGTGATGTGTTTTATGATGGTCACATCTTCCATGCATTTGGATATGTATCCCGTCACGGACTCAGTGTACAGTTATATTGACATGCTGGTTGGAAGTGGCAGCCTTCCTAAAAACAGTCCAATCTGTGCAGTCAAAACAGTCTTGGAGCGCTGAGGTAGCCCCCTCTGGGCAAGTTCTAATCCACTTCACAGACGGTTTGTTCCTCACCAGCAGTGGCCTGTAAGATGGCATTAGCATAACAGAAAGATGGTCCGAGTTTCCCAGATGGGGGTGTGGAACAGCTCTGTATGCGTGTTTAATGTTAGAATAGACCTGGTCCAGAATGTTTTCTCCCCTGGTTGCAAAGTCCACATATTTATGAAAGTGTGGGAGTACTGTCTTCAATTTGGCCTGATTGAAATCGCCCGCAATTATACAGGCAGAGTCCGGGTTTGAGTCCTGCATTGAGCTCACAGATTGATACAATGTAGAAAGTGCGTCTTTTGTATTTGCACTGGGTGGTATGTACACGGCTGTAATAGTCATGGCTGAAAATTCTCTTGGCAAGTATACTGGACGGCATTTGACTGTTAGAAATTCTATGTCCTTGGAACAGTGTCTTGAGATGACTTTAACATTAGTGCACCAATTGTTTTTAATGAAAATTGCTACTCCACCACCTCGTAGCTTACCAGTGAGTGCGTGGCTTCTGTCTGCCCTGAATGTTGTTAGTCCATCCACCTGAACGGCGTTGTCTGGAACAGTGTGGTCAAGCCATGTCTCGGTGAGGACGATGGCGCTGCAATCTTTCACCATCCTATGTGTAATTAGATCCAATCTGAGGTAGTCCATTTTGTTTTCCAGAGAAAGAACGTTGGAAAGTAGAATCGAAGGAAGTGCAGGTCTGTTCGGTTTAGCTTTTAGCCTTGCGCTAATGCCCGCTTGACTGCCTCGCTTTCTAGGTCTAGCACACCGCTTGCGACTCATGCTAGGTCTCTCCCGCCGCTTGCGTCGCCTCCAACATCGGCCGGTGTCGGGGGAGGAGTCCGCTGCTTTGCAGGCTTCTGGGTCTTGCTGGTGTAAAATGCCCAGCTCGTCGAGTACTTTGTGTTCCGGAACAAACATAATTCCGGATAGATCGTTTAAAAAGTTTGAATTTCGTAGTCCAAGTAGTAGGCTTCTGTTGTAGACTTTTCTCATACAAGACTGGGACGATTCAGACGACACATTTAACATAAAACGCACATCGTTACTGGGAGCTGAAGTAGCCGCTGCCATATAGGGCGCCGCCAGTGGCTCAACCTTAAAGCTTAAAGCTATAAGAAAACAATGTATACAATGGTATGCCTATTGCAAAATTTTACAATTTTTAATTTTTAATTAATGTTAAATTAACTAATGAACTACTAGAATTACTTGATGGAATTCACCCAAAAAAAATTGATTGATTGATTGATTGATTGATTGATTGATTGATTGATTGATTGATTGATTGATTGATTGATTGATTGATTGATTGATTGATTGATTGATTGATTGATTGATTGATTGATGTCTATCCAATGAAATTCAATGGGGTCTACTGTTGTTTTGGGTGTATCCCATGATTCTTTTGTTTTTCACAAATGAAATAAAGTCATACCGGTTTGGAATGACATTAAATAATGACAGAAATTGCATTTTTGGATGAACAATCCCTTTAACCATGGTAAAATCAGTGTAAAAACAAATAAAACCAAGTTCAAAAATGGACTCTATATATTTACATTTAAAAATATATAGGTTAATAATGAAGTAAATGAAAATAAGTAAATGAAAATAAGAGTAAATGTAGCTTTAGTAATTTCAGAAGCTCATTAGAGGTATAAGTTATAATAATATATGTTATTTTTGCATTATTTAGCCCCTATAATATTATTTATTAAATATTATTAATATTTTGAATTCGATTTTATTTTTATATTTTATTTTTATAAGGCATAATTTCAACTTTTCGTCTACATTTAAGGTTTTCATCTACTATTAATATTTTATTTTATTTCATTTCAGCTTTGTTTCAGTTACTGATTTTTTTTTGTTTGTTTTTTTGTGCAGTTTTAGTAGATATACAGTATCTTGAGTAAAGGTGTACAACATTTTTGTTCTTCTTTTATCAGTCTAAGGGAAAATATTGTTTTGAGAGAGACCTGATGACTGAAACTGTCAGGGTAGGGAGCCGTCAAACCATCCTGGTCTATTGGAAACGAGAGACCTCGTCTCTTAAATTAGGCACACGGAGAGGAAGCGTCCTTCTGTCTGCAGAGCCGACTAGACGTTTGAATGTCCTCCTGAGGGACTTCAGCCCCATTAGGGCTCAGATTGATAATGTTTGAGATGGCAGGAAATCTTTAAGTTTGCATTCGTGCTCAGGTCTGTGCTCAAGGCTGACTTGGCAGAGGAAAACCAGAGAGAGGGTAAAAATCCATCGATAAGAAGGTCCATGGATCATCTAAAGGGGACATTTTGGGCTTGGGAAAATTGCCAATTCTCTGACAGCTGGTCAATATCTACAGTGGGGAAGCATTCAGTCAAGTATGACTTTGCACAGGGAATTTTTTCACCATGTAGTTTATGAACCTTTGTTCTGTGTATCTGACAGTCAACACAACTGGGCACCAAAGCTCATTAAAGGTTAATCTGGTTAGAGGAAATGAAAGAGCAGAACTGCACCTTTGAGAAACAGTTGAACACCTGCTTGCCTTTTGTTACCAGCATGTTTGCACTGCTAATCTTTAAATAATATATATCCTAAATATAGCATAATGGTGACACATATTCCAACATCACAACAACAGAACCTGTCGGTCTGCCTCTTTTGAGCTGTTTCTCAAGGTTATGCATGATGAAATATGTCTGTCTGGCTATCTATCTATCTATCTATCTATCTATCTATCTATCTATCTATCTATCTATCTATCTATCTATCTATCTATCTATCTATCTATCTATCTATCTATCTATCTATCTATCTATCTATCTATCTATCTATGTATCTACATTGTTTAAAAGAAACATTGTTTTTTTTAAAGAAATGAATACTTTTACTCAGCAAGGATGCTTTAAATTAAATCAAAAGTGACAGTAAACACATTTATAAATTATAATGTTACAAAAGATTTGCATTTTAAATAAACGCTGTTCTTTGAAACGTTCTATTCATCAAGAATCCTCAAAATATGATCACGGTTTCCACAAAATATGAAGCAGACAACTGTTTTCAACATCGATAATAATCAGAAATGTTTCTTGGGCAGCAAATCAGCATATTAATGATTTCTGAAGGATCATGTGACACTGAAGACTGGAGTAATGATGCTGAAAATTCAGCTTTGATCACAGAGAAATTTTAAACTATTTTCAAATAGAAAACAGTTATTTTAAATTGTAATAATAATTCACAATATTACTGTTTTTACTGTATTTTTGATCAAATAAATGCAACCGTGGTAAGCATAAGAGACTTCTTTCCAAAACATTAAAAAATATTGCTGACCCCAATTTTTTTACGGTATAGTGTAATAATCAAAGTCAGAACAATAATAAATAGTGATGCTTGTATGATGCATCAGTGTCCATTAGTGCAATTGATTTTCAAACTCATCTAATAGTCAGTTTCAATGCTGATTACTTCTCACGCTGTGCAAACTCAAAACACTTGTTTTCCTTGAGAGTTACCTGAGCAAAACCTGGAAATCAGGTTAAAAACAAAGATGGACCGCATTAAACGGTCTCCAACGGTCGCTGCTGCAACCCTCCTTAAAAAGAAAGGCTGATGCATTGCAGTAATTAGGCCAATCCTTTGGCAATGATACACACACACTTCCTCTGTTCCCCCTTCTCTCTTCAGGTGTGTGTGCGTCCAAATGAGCTGATAGATTTAGAAGGATGCCAGACGAATGAGGTCAGGCAGCGTGAGGCCGCTGGATCGTGGCACGTTATCTTCAACGAACACATGTCTTTCAGTCCAATTACACTCCTGCTGCAAATGGAGCATCTGACTCCATACACACATCCACCACATCGCTCTGTCACTCACACAATCTCCAACGGTTTCTTTTCAGAGTTCAGGCCAATGCACATACAGACACACACACAAATCCAGGCAGATCATTAGCTTCCAAACAGGTGATTTCTTTTTTTTCTTTTCTTTTTCTTTTTTTTACTGAAATGGCGTCGCCTAGATAGCGGCTAAAGTTTTACTAATTGGTTTTACACAGCAAATCTCAGTATTTTTGGCTTGATTCTCAGTAAAAGTATTTAATCTTGACTTGTTTTCAGAGAATGTATAGCATAATAACTGTAAAATGACCTAATTGACTATTCATGTTGCAAAGCATCATGGGTATGTTCTGTTTTGTTCTCACCCTCTTGCAGAAGAAGTGTGCAGAATTTTCTTTTCATTTGATATATTTGTTTTCCCAGTGTCAATCAACTTTGACATTTTTAAAGTGTAACAAGTGATTTAAGTTTCAAGGTAGAGGAATTTGGTCAGTCTTAAAAGTTTTATTACAAAACATAAATATTGCATCAGTGTTTTTGACTAATTATTCCTTTTCACGTTAAATACAAAATGTCCACCATAGACCTGTTCGAGGACTCGTTTGCACGACACCGTTTTCAACTAAAAACAGAAAACGTTTTATGCGTTTTAGCCGTTCATTTACAGGACAAAGGCGTTTTGGGGGTCTAAAAATGCAAACTTTTGAAAATGGGTTTCAAAGTGAAAGTTTTTGAAAACGATAACGTTATCATCAACAACAAAAAAACGTGAAAACGGTGACGTCATGCGCATGTGTATAGAGAGCCGAAGTTACGACGTCACTCTGTAGGCCAAAACGCGGAAGTGAGTTAGCATGTTAGCACTCCCGGTTCCCTCGCTCTAAGTCTATGGGATTTTTGAATGGGTTTTTGCTAAATCGCCTGAAATAAGGTCTGTGGTGAACAAAGCCTCTAAATATTTTCACGTTTTGATCTATGACATAGAACACACAGTTATAACCTGCTTGTGTTTTTTTTAAACTGTATTGTGTCTGCTTGTGTTTTTTAAAAACTTTATATAGGCTTCAAAATGTATACATTTTGGATTGACTTGTAAAGATTATCTTGATAGACACAACGTGTAAGGGTCACAACTCTTTGTTAAACACAGATCTTATTTTTTGCGATTTTCCAAAAGTCTATGGGGAAAATGCATAGCTTTTCGATCGAGGGAACCCATGCTCCGCTAGCTTCGGGAGTTGTCCTAAAAAGTGACGTCATCACTTCGGCACTCTATTACGTGTTCAGTAGGCGCTTAGTGTTTCTTTACAAAGTGACATCGCCAACTACTGGCCGGCAGCAGAATACAGCGTTTTTAGTCGTTTCCACGGATACGTGTGAACGTGATCATTTTGACGGTAACACTTTACTTGAAGGGGTGTACATAAGACTGACATGACACCTTCATAACCATGACATGACATATGTCATGAATATGAAGTAGGGTTTATGTATGTTTATGACAACTGTCATTAAGTGTCTTTCGCTCAATAATGACATTTTGAATGCAAATATGACATTGTTTAAGATGTCTTTGTTATGACACCTTGACATAAACCATAACATCATAACCTGTCAGTGTCTTTGTCATGACAACTTGACATTAAATTAAGTTAAACTGTCATGTGGTTGGTTTTGACACTGGCTGTCATAAGGCCATTATAACTGTGTCATGAATATTTTTCGTGACCTCAAATACAGTGGTACACATTGAATTTGTCATTAAACAGTTATAATGGCTTCATGACAGCCAATGTCAAAACCAACCACCTGACAGTTTAATGTAATGTTAACCAATAAAGCTAAGTGGTTTCTTAAGTTTGATAATTAATCTGCTAGGTCATGTTTATGACAGGTTGTGTTGTCTTAGTAATGTCAAGTTGTCATGACAAAGACACTGACAGGTTATGATGTATTGGTTTATGTCAAGGTGTCATAACAAAGACATCTCAAACAATGTCATATTTGCATTAAAAAATGTCATAATTGAGCGAATGACACTTAATGACAGTTGTCACAAACATGCATAAAGCTTCCTTCATATTCATAACATGTGTCATGTCATGATTATGACGGTGTCATGTTAGTCTTATGCACACCCCTTCAAGTAAAGTGTTACCACACTGGTACAGTGAGAGATGCAGGCGTTTATGTTCAAGTTTACACATAAAAGTATCATAAAGATTTGTTTAGAAGGCTTTTTATCTTGCTTTTTAAACAACTCAGTTGAGGTTGCTTTTGTTTGTGTGAGATATCAGTTCTGTAAATAAAAGATAATGGTTTCTTCTGGCCTTTGGTGCTCTCTATAACAATACTGACAGCAAACTGTTGCCCTGTTGGCCTACGTCTCTCGCTATCTAAAGCTCATTTACTAAGCTCCACTCCGTCCACATGTTTACCAGCTGAAACATTGCTGTTGAAGACGTGGCCGCCCATCAGCTCCACTTCCCTTCGCTTCATCTAAATTGTCTCACAAACTCTCTGCTTGTGATCAGACAGAATTCAGGCTTGCGGAAAGTTTTCACGCCGCTGGTTTTCTCTCTTCACTTGTCTCTTTTTATTCTCTGTCCTGCCTGCAGTTCTCGGCTCCCTCCTCGCTGTCTTTTTCGATCTCTTATTAGTTTGCCTTCTGTCTTTTCTACATCAACTTTTCATGATGCGATTCCTCTGAGGTTCAGCCCAGCGCATGCTCCTTCTGAGGCCCATGCAGAATTGATGTGCAGGCGGGTCGAGCAGGCTTCCGTCTCCAGCCCCGGTCTTTGATGTATCAGTCCATTCTCAGCCCTGGGCCCAAAGGCACTTGAAAACGTGTTTTGTTATTGATTACTGCCAGTGATTCATCATCAAATGTGTTAAAATTCACAAAAAGAAAATTTCGTTATACATCACTCAGAGAATTGATCCATTGAATTTTCACCGAAACTAAACTTCTCTGCATCCTAGAAACTAAGAGAATAAAGAAGTTCCGAAACGCACAGTTGGTAGACAAAATTCAGAAGTTAATAATTGGCTAGTGTGGATTTGAATTCAAGTGGCTACACTCACAAGACGTTGAATTACAGTATCAGGAAGAGGAATTTACTGAATTGAAATTCTAATTCTAAAACAAAAGTTGCCAAATTATAAACATTGCATCATTAGTTGTGACTAATTATGCCTATTTATGCAGAATACAAAATGTTCACCATTGTACACTGTAGGGAAAAAAATACTATTCCTAATGAGTATTTTTGTCTTATTTTCCATTTAAAGGGATACTCCACTTTTTTTGGAAATAGGCTCATTTTACAACTCCCCCAGAGTTAAACTGTTGAGTTTTACCGTTTTTGAATCCATTCAGCCGATCTCCGGTTCTGGCGGTACCACTTTTAGCATAGCTTAGCATACATCATTGAAGTGGACAAGACCATTAGCATTTCTTAAAAAAAAAATGACCAAAGAGTTTCGATATTTTTCCTATTTAAAACTTGACTCTTCTGTCAGGCAGCGCCTGAAAATAGTTCCGTTGTGTTGAAGGAAGGTGGCCTATTTTCAGGCGCTGTGTCATATTATTACGCCTGCTGCACTCATGGTACGGCAGTAAAGTTTCTTGATTATCGGCTGCCTTTATTCGGCTGCCTTTTTTTCTTTGCACAACACACAGACTTTACAGAATGGCTGAAATAAGCATTCGTTTATGTGTCATACAAAGACGAAGAGAGGCTCCCGGGAGCGCGCGTAAACATCACATCCTTTTGATTTTCCCGGAAAAAAACGTCCCGAGTCCTTCACATAAAATAGACATAGGGCCCTATTTTAACGATCTGAAACGCAAGTGTCAAAGCGCAAAGCGCAAATAACTTTGTGGGCGGATCCCGGCGCTGTTGCTATTTTCCTGGAAGGATAAATGCCTCTTGCGCCTGGCGCAAATCTAAAAGGGGTTGGTCTGAAGTAGCTTCATTATTCATAGGTGTGGTTTGGGCGTAACGTGAAATAAACCAATCAGAGCGTCATCTCACATTCCTTTTAAGAGCAGGTGCGCATGTTGCATGGCGGATTGCTATTATAACGGCGGATTTACCAGGCGCGCGCCAGGAGCGGTTCACAGCCGAGGAGACCGACGTTCTTGTCAGGGCAGTGAAAGACAGAGAAGTGACGTTGTATGGGGATGGGAGAAACCCACCCAAATCAGCGTCGGTTAAACAGGCGTGGGAGGAAAAAAACTAAATTTTTTACATCTTCATGGACACCACAATGATTTCCCTCATGTGTTAATATTTTTCCTTGTTATAATGTATGATTTGCAAAAATAAAAACTGCTGCATCTGTGTTGATGAGAGAATCAAAGTGTATGCGCGTTGTGCACCCGCTACATTATGGCCAAGCATGCGCGCTTAAAATAGCATAATGAACAACGCGCAACGCGCCACTGACTTTAGACTAGGTTTTTTCTGGTCAGTGGCGCAATTGTTTTATAGAACAGCAAAATAGCATGAGGGAAAGTTTGCGCCGGAACACGCCTCCTCTTTGTGCTGAACCGCCCCGGGGAGCGCAAGTGTATTTCTTAGTTAACCGACGTGTGTCTGTGGAGGGAAAAGTCCGCTTTGCGCGGGTGCAAAATAGGAATGATACATGCGTCAGTGTACAAAGTCATTTGCGCTGGGTGCAAGATAGAGCCCATAGAGTTCATAGACAACCTAGTAGGAAGTCAGTTCTTTGTATTTATCTGTGAAATTTACAAGCGATTTCTGAGTGAAAATTGTTTCAATGTAAATCCTACACCATTTTTTTCAGTGAGTACTACAGTATACTTACAGTAATATGTGAATTAATAACTTTGCATCCGCATTCTAAATTTGAATTATAATTCAGCATTCTGTTTGCAGCCTCAATTCAAATGCAAAGCCTTCTGAATGACACACCCTCCTGTTTTGCAACTATCCTTATTGTCAATTACCTGAAATCAAGTGCTATGGTGTACATGCAGCCGGTACCAGCGACAGGAAGTGGGTGGATTTTGTGAGAGGATTCCACCAGAGAGGATTTTGTAAGAAATTATTGTCACTTTCATCTCGTCTGACTGTGTCTGTTCTCCTGGAAAACTCTGGTTTGTTTGATTCTGGCAGTTCTTGGTTCAGACCAAGTGCTTTGTGACCTTGAAATACTCAATTGTGTATAAGCTGAAAATAAAAAGAGAGAGTGCAGACAGAGCAAAAGCTATGCAGGCAACAATGTACCATCAATTAAAGGAGGGCTTTGTTTATCTGAAGCAACACATCTATTTGCGCGTTGTGGTGGCGCCCTAAAAAGCAATGAAATTCTAATTTGTTTCTTATGTTGTAAGTGCATTAAACCTGAAGCTAACACAGTATCCTAACCTAGAGCAATTCAACAAGTTTATAATTTCTCTGTCCTTATTGATTTTAACATATTTGGACCAATGAGATTGATGCAGAATGCAACACAATTACATTACATATTTAAAGAGGCCATTTTAGGCCCTTTTAAAAAGTCTTGATTTAGTTTTTAGGTTTACTAGAATATGTTTTCATGCTTGAATGTTCAAATCACATATTTTACACTGTTGCAGCACCTCTTTTCCCAGTCTGTCAATAACGGGCTGTTTAGTTCCTGTCTCTGAAGCTCCTCCTTCAGTGTGCTCTGATTGGTCAGCTGGACCAGTGTGTTGTGATTGGTCCACCAATTTGAGTGTGTTTAGGAAATGTCCCGCCTCTTATCATAACCGTGAGTTTCAAAACACTAACTAACTCGACCAGGCCTCGTTCCTGTTTTGTTTGTGCCTTGGGCGGGAATTATTTAAAGGGATAGTTCACCCAAGAATGAAAATTATGTCATTAATGACTCGCCCTCATGTCGTTCCAAGCCCGTAAGACCTCCGTTCATCTTCGGAACACAGTTTAAGATATTTTAGATTTAGTCCGAGAGCTTTCTGTCCCTCCATTGAAAATGTATGTACGGTATACTGTCCTTGTCCAGAAAGGAAATAAAGACATCATCAAAGTAGTCCATGTGACATCAGTGGATTAGTTAGAATCTTTTGAAGCATCGAAAATACATTTTGGTCCAAAAATAACAAAAACTACGACTTTATTCAGCATTGTATTCTCTTCTGGTTCTGTTGTCGATCCACGTTCAGTGACGCTGCTGACGTAAGACGCTTACGGGCTTGGAACGACGTGAGGGTGAGTCATTAATGATATAATTTTCATTTTTGGGTGAACTATCCCTTTAA